ACCTACTCCTCATTTTACAGGTCTCAATCAATAGCTAGCCGTAGTGTCAGAGTTTTGATACGGCGACCTATACATGATATTTGTGTATTGCCTCAAAGTTGTTTTTTTATTTTGTAGTTTGATATTCCAAAAAAGTACATTAGTAAAAATTTTGGTGTTTCTCAATGAATAAAAAACATCAAGTGAATAAAAAACATCAGAGGGCCTCACAAAATGTACCATGCCCACAAAAAATTTAGGCCTTGCCTTTCAGGAAGCTGAAGAGCCATATACAGAAATAATCCTACAAGACAAAGCATTGAAGTTTGGCTAGCAAACCCTCATGTCACACACGGTCAAAGGCCTCAGAAATATCAAGCGCAACAGCTCTTGATTTTCCATGTTTCTCGATTGCGTTATTCCAAATATGGGTGACCTACGACAGAAGTTCGTCTGTTGATCTTTGTTTCTGAAAGCCATATTGATGATCGCTCAAGATCGCTCCGTGAGTTTTGATATTACTGATAGCAAATCGACTGGTCTATAGTTATTTGGAAGATTGTTCTTCCAACAAGAAGAAAAAACCCCTTTCTTGTAAGACAGATTGGAAATTTTGCAAAATACTGAATATTCTTCCACCAATCGAATGATTGGTACTGTTATGTTATGCCAATATCACATTTACTGGACAGCAACATGGATTCTTCAACAAAAAATCAACAACCACAGCAATACATTCTTGCTACAGCGAAATTATCATATTGTTAACGGAAAAACAGATTTAAACAGATTAAACAGATCATATGATGAAATTCTAACATGAAATTCAAAAAATAAACTGCACAGATACGGTATACCTACATGGTCTCCGCTGTCCGGGTTATCCACTCGGATATAAAACAGTTTGATGAAGTGAACAAAATCCAAACCGACACTTTCTACAAATTTGGGAGTTCCGCAAGGGTCCATAAGGCCCCATACTATTTTTGTTCTAGTGAATAATTTGGAAAACGCAATCATACCGATGGCACTTCCATTCTGTAATATGAAAGAGGTTGCATTCAGGTCTAGAAGAAAAATGTGCTGAAGTTTTCAAAAAGTTAAATTCGAAATTTTCAAAAAAAAAGATATCTGTGAAAACTGTCTCAGTACAGTTTCATAATCGGTGGAAACATTTTGTACCAATCAGTGTTCCAAATAATGAAAATTGGGATTATGTGACTACAGGGTAAGTAAAACCACTTAATTCCCAGGACTTTATGTTGAGCAGTGCTTAGGGATGGCTTATTTTTCCATAAATGAAGGCATTCTTTTGGTAAAATAACCTTATTTTATCGAATCACTACAAAAAATTTGAATACAAAAACTAATCTCTCCTAAAAAATATAATCTTTCAACTCAAAGAATACCTAGTTGTTCTGCGTTAGTTTAAATAAAATCCAATTTATCTATCTACCAATACGAAGCCAGGGCGAATCAGCTGTATTCGATAAATTGTGAAACCACTGAACCAATTTTGCACCATTACAAAGCTACATTATCCAGAACTCACACGAGTTACTGTTCATTCATATATGCATGCCCACGGGGTAGGGTATATACATATGTATACTGCGTGGGTGTATAAGTAGTCATAGTATGTGGTGCAAACGCTATTGTGAGTTAAGAATTTTTTTTTATTAAGAAAAAACCGCATCAGCCCTATATAGCTATTAGCGGCAAATATTCAAAATATATCTAAAACATGCAGTTGTTTACATTATACTTTAAATAAAAGGTTTACATTCTTTAAGAAATTCAACAATATTGTTCAAACAGTCACCAGAACTTGCTTAACAGTCACAAGCGCTTCACACGCGAAACATTTTGGTGGCGGTTCTTTCCTCAATAGATGTTCATGCGTAAGGCGAGTGTGGCCCAGTCGTAATCTTGTAATTATGACTTGATGGAAGCAGTTTGTTGCTTTGTTGTTCCAAGGATATAATGTAGCCTTGATTTCCTTAAGTTTGGAAGGTTTTTGAGACCAGTGGTGATTCCACATTTCTACAATTTTGCAATGGAAATAGAATTTGAGATCTATCAGCATTGCTTTCATACTGAGATTACCTACATGCTGGATGTTCTACAGCTTCTCTGGCAGGTTTATCGGCTACATCGTTTCCAGAAGTACCAGTATGTGAATCACTGCAGTCAAATGTATGAGTTGTGACCCTACTACATGGGCTGAAAAGTCTAACATACAGATGGCGCTAATCTTATTACATTCAGCGCTTTTTTAGTTAGTACTAACTTTGTATATAGACTATACAATGGTACTAACCTTCAAAACAACAGAAACAACAACTAAACGTTGGTTTGCTTTCTTCAAACGTGGTCGTAGAGACATACCGATGATGTAAAACGCAGTGGACGTCCAGGCAGTAACACCAGAAAACATAAAAAAAATCCACAAAATCGTTTTGAATGATTGAAAAGTGAAGTTGCGCGAGTTAGCTGATATCGTAAAGATATCAAAAGAAAGTGTTGATTTTATATTGCATGAGCATTTGACTATGAGAAAGCTCTGTTCTGAGTAGGTGCCGCCGGAGCTTACAGTTGTCCAAAAACAAGAATGTCTTTATGATTCGGAGCAGTATTTGGCCATGTTTAAACAAAACAGGAATTTTTGCGTTGATATGTGACAATGGTTGCATTTTTTTTCAACTTTGTATTAACAAATATTCTTGGATTATGTTGAAACAATGGCATAACAAAAGAAAATTCGAAGAAAGTCTAGATTACTAATAGATATCTATTAGTTAAGGTGCATGGTCACTTTTTTGTTACATACAACCTGCGCTATTATTCATCTAACCGGTTGAACTAAGACGCTTTGGTTACGTTAGAAAGGCTGACATTTCGATAAATTACACCATAACGCAATATTCAAGTATTTTCAACGACCGCATCAAATTTGATTTTCCACGTTTGATCGTCTGGAAGAGGATATGCACCTTCTAATCGAGTTGGTTCAACTTTTCCCCAGACAACTGAAAACTGGAACAGACTACGTACAGTTTGTCGAGATTATAAATCACCTGATAATACCGTATTTGACAATTTGAATCGTGATTCAAGGACTTTTAAAACAAATTACTCGATTAATGTATCAGAATATTTTCATGTAGTAGATAGTAACAGAATGTTTATACGTTATAAGTCTCTTTATTTTTAGCGTGGCTCGATGATTAATTTTGAAAAAAAAACATAAACTATTCATATGATAATTAGGATGACTCATAAACTTCAACACCTGAAGAAAACACGATCAGGATTCTTATGAGTGAATACAGCTATATTGTCCTTCTTCGGTAAATATTCTCTTGGCGTTCGATTAAAAATCGGATCACGTTGAATCCATCGTGTTCGTTTATGGAATAAATCTTTCTCTTATTTCGATAATGTCACTTTTAATTGACTTTAGAATCAACTTTCTAGAGATGGTTTGTTCTAAAAAAGAGTAAACTTTCTTACCATTATTTATTCTTCTTAGGTTAAGATTCGAAAACGAATTAGGTACGACCGAATATTTTGAAAACAAATATTTTTTTACAATTTCATTATTCAATTAAATTTTTCAATGGAATAATGTGATAAAAAAACAAAAAAATATAATATATCAGTTGGCTTTCTGATTGCATAAGGACTTACACAGCTAGACAGAACACATAAATTCTATGTCTTTTCATCTCCATAACCGGATGTCGCAACACTAGTCTCTTGCAAAACCAAACTTCAATCACTGATTTTGAAAATTGTTGCATCTACCTCCAATTTGCAATGTAAACCAGTCCAAATATCCATTGATTCTTCCTATGAAGTGTTATTGTTATCCAAGATAACAGACTGTTTTACCAATTTTCGGACACATCATTTACTTACATTAAAAGAAAAAGAACTTACATTAAAAGAAAAAGATTACACTTGATTACAAGCCCTTTAAAGTTTCTGAGTAGACAAAACGTATAAAAACAATCAATTAGGCATATAGCAAACCATAACAAAATTTATTTCTACAATTCTTCCCAGTTTCACAAAATACTTAAAAAGATGAAGAAATTTTCGTAAGGGGATACGTCACCGCCCTTACTTGATATTAATGATATTATTATTGGTTGAATTGCTGATACTCATTCGAGAAGACAATTTTGTTAATTCTCGCAATGTAAAAAGGTTGAAAAGCTAATGCAATTTCCATAAAGTTTTCTCTAAGGTAGTACTACCTCGAGAGTCAAATGTATGCTATGTGTAGTTCGATTTCTCTAGTATTTACATGTGGCATCGCCGCGTAAAAGCGAATGAGAATATATTCAAGAAACGCTTTATTGTGAGATTTTTACTACACAGTTTCAATTAGAATGATTTCTATAGTGTTTAACATGTTCAATAATAATTTTTTAGAACACTGATATAATTGACCGACACTGATATCCTCTCATACCGCGTTCTATGGATGTTTAAATTTCGCGCGCGTCATCACTTCTTTGACAACGTTGTCACATATACGTAACATAGCACATTTTCAATTATCCATTAATTATTCTCATCACAAGTTTTGAAGCTCAAATGTTCGGAAAATATTTCTTTCAGTTGATACCACTTTTATTGAAATCTGAACGTCACATTTTGCAAAATGAAATAAACTCCGAGGTCCCTTAAGGATCAATGGTAAAAGCAAAACTTTTTTTCGAAGTTAATATCTTTTTCAGTTCTCCGTAGATCTCTGAACATTCAATTGGTTCCATATCTCATAATAATGTACCATAATACTCATAGTTCTGAACGTTAATTCAAAAACTGGTGGTACTACTTCAAATAATCAGATAAGCTAACAAATACATGAGAATGTTTTGTTTACATTTTTAAATTGCAGTGACAAAATCCACTGTAAAGTAAATACGAAAATAAAAATTTCTTACCTGAACAGTGTTCAAAGTTTCAAATGATGAAATACTTCATAACAGGGTTTGAAATGAACAGAGTTGTCGTAAATTGTATATTTGGTTATTTTCAACAGTTTTTTTAATAGGACATAGGCACTCCTTTCTATTATGAGCAAATTAAGGGTGACATAACAAGGTAAATACAAAAAGATCTCTGAAGTTCCATGATATAAACAGGTGTTCCTTGGCACAAAACTAAAAACTACTCTCATTGATCACAGAGACAAATGTCATACAAGAACTATCTTGATTTTTTATGAAAATTCAACAAAAACAAACAATGATAATCAATTTTACAAAAAAGGTCAGTTATAAAGAGGTCACATAAGATTTTTCCTGAATAATTTTCCATAGTCTATGTTTACCTATTGATATTTTCAAAAACTGGTTATGTTGAAAACCACCTTTATGCATTACATAAAATACGGGCAATATAAAATAGTACTCCTATAAAATTACTCACACTAGTTGATCAGACAATACATATTCAACATTTGTTAAAATATAAAAACGTAAAAAATCTTATAAATAATTTAAACAATACCTAGTCTCGCAAAGAGGTAATTAATAAGTACCCATCTACTTATTGCTACCGTCAGGTTAAAATAATTGTGCCTCCTTTTCAAATTAGAAATAATATTACTAGACAAATCGTCCAGTACATGTGAAGGATTCAATACTGTTAATATTCGGAAATGGCTAAAACAGTTCTAGTTCGAAATATCTCACCATATTACATAATACTGGTTGGGTTTTTGATTCCAAAAGGAGCTTATGATTTTTTCGTCAGAAAATATCAAAAACATCACAAACTGAGAAACAATGAAAGAGAAATTTGTTGTTATATATGTTGTTGTTGTTATATATGTTATCTTTTTATACATTAAAAACAATTTAATTGTAAATTGTTGAATGTAATACTTCAAGGCTCATAATTTCTGTCTTTCGTTCCAAAGAGATTTTTATCACTCCCTTTTTTTTTAAACGCCTATTTAAAAAACCCTCAAGGCGACCGGCCATACATGTTGCTCGACTTGAGTAATTCATCAGAACGTCCTCCAAAAAAGGCAAAAACGCCTTTTAAAAAGGGACTATGCAGACTATTTCATAATTGGGGATACTTTTCATATTTAATTGAAAATAAAAGTATTAAAATTTAGGAACAAACATTTTTGAGTAACGAATTCATTATAATGAACACCCGCAAAAATATTTCTTGATATGATTTTTTATCACTTCCACATTCGTTTAATGAAAAAATTAGAAGACATCAATAGTTATCTTACTTGCTCTTGAGATATTTTTACAAAAAAAAATATAGAAATGTGAAAAGCAAGAGTTATTTTGAAATATATATCAGTTATACTAAGAGGCTACTTGGGAATTTTTTGAATATTGAGAAAAAATATATTTCAATTCAAGGCAGCCTCAAATGAGCTTCATTTAGAGAAGACATTCTCAAGAGGAACATTTTTTAGATACTGACAAATCTCGAGCGATACTCCACAAGAATCCCAAGCATATATAATCCTTATTCACGTACATGATAAAAACTAATGATTGATTTTTAAGTTGTTCCCAATTCCCATTGAGGGTCCTACACAAGAAACATTTTCGATGAAACATCCTTTTCGTATTGTTATCAAAATATTTCACAGATTTATAAGTTCAAGTTGTCCTAATTTCTCAAAAACATTAAGTAAATCTACCAACACAGAATATTATGATACTCGAGTTGATCCCTCAAGCACGAAGGGTTCATTTCAAAAAAATATATTTTCAAGTCGTTTTTGAGATACTCGCAAAATCAAACAAGTAATCAAGGATTTCTCAAGGCTATTTTTTCCAAATTTTTCAAGCATCCTCATGAGAAATGAGAGAAGGTATATAAAAATCAGAAATAAAAGATAATCTTTCAAGTGATATGTCTGAATAAATACACTCTCACGATATAGTTGTCGAAGTATTTTGAAGAAATCCCTGAATGAGACATTTTGAAAACACTTCTTCAATTAAATTGGAAGGGGGATATTTTTAGGAGAGATTATTTTTTGGAAAGAAAGGTTTTAGCTCTCTACTTTTTCATCTTAATCATCATCTTAAAGATGGAGGAGTTGAAACCCAGAAACTTTCCCAAAGATTTTCCTGATGTCTCAAGAAATCCTCCCAAAGGACATATTTTCAGTGAGTCTAGGAAGTGTATTTTAGGAGGCACAACTCATTAGGAAGCATATAGCCCCGGAAGTGATGTCGAAACTATACCAAATGACTAGCTAATTTTTCATCAACAGTCTCATTGAGGGAGTTTATTCGATTTTGTTGTTGCCTTCATGTATGCATCAAGTATATTTTTGTTCCTCTTGCAGTGCATTTTTATGGATGACAGCCGTTTGGGATATAAGTCGAAAACGCCGATATTCACTAGAAAATATCCGTAATTCGTTTTAATTATGTTTTTCAATTCCAAATTATCACTGAAAAAAATTACGAAGTCATATTTGTGCGGTGGAAATATCAAAATCTTACCTAATATCCTCTTGTATCCTTTTCAAGGTAACCATCAGAGAACAGTCCTTCATTATCACCGATATCAGGTAAGGTATGAAAGCCAAATCCATCTCTTCCTGACTCCGATTAGTGTCGCCTAGCATCATGATCAAACATTTCAAACAAACATGTTTATTATCAATTTTGTCTAACAACATATTAATATAGTTCCAGTCTTTTATATCCTCTCTGTGCAACAATTTCTCGTAGTAGAAGCTCCCTTCAGTGTCCAACATTTGAATGGACAGGATCTTTTCCAGGACGCAACCTCTAGGCAAGGCGCTCTGAGCACTCGATTGTTGAATAATTTTGTTCCACTCGCAGAACAGTTTTTCTTCACAGTGTTCAACAAAGTCTACGTTCATAATATTCGTTACTAAGGACTGTCTAACGAGCTCACAAAATTCATCTATCAGTCTGAAAGAATGGGAAATTGAGGGAGTGATAGTTTGATGATACAACTTTGTTTGTTATTACCTTTCTTGGTCCTCATTGTGGTCTTCAAATAAACTATGGACAATGTGAGAGAAATCCAAAGCAGATTTTTCTCCATATACCAGAGTTCCGTTTTTGAAAACTTGAAAATTGTTCTGTGGATTGCTTATCAAAGATTTTATGGCACGTTTCATTCTAATTTCGTCCCTAAATATAAAATATAACTTGTGAATAAACTAATGATGATGTGATTCATATGTGAAACAGTGATAAAAAGTACCACCTACCCTGAAAACAAATCTTCCGGACAATATTCACTCAGTTTGCTAATTTTCTTACTTTCTAACTGAAAAAAGATAGTGATAAATTCTGAACGATTTGAGAATGTCAGTAGCGTACCTTTAAATATTGCTTCATACAGAACACACATGCAGGGTAATGTTTTTCGCTGAATGGTCTCCAACCTTGTTTGGGTTTTAGTTCGACAGCGAAAGTGTCTTCAGACATCTGAAATGGTAGGTAGTCATACTCATCCAGAGGCATAAAGGCATAATCGTCAAAAAGTGAGGCTCTACCATACTGCAATATCTTATGTTTACGAAACTCTATAATAAATATATGGATGTAATTAACACATCTCTAAAACTATCAAAAAGACAGATTACATTAAATAGAAAAACAGTGGTGAAATACAAAATTTTATTCAGTGGCATTGCTTATTCAAACTTTTTTAGAGGTATTGATTTTCCAATAAAAGTTTAATATCAAGTAAAGAAGAGAGCTCTTAACACAGCTGTATAAACATCCATAGTCACTTTCATCTTTTTTAAAAAACTAATATTATATAAACTATACCTGGTCTATATTTGCTCAACTCATTCTGTAGTATTTGTATTTGCTTCCTGGTGAGAACCACCTGATGTGCTTCCGAAGTGTACTTTCTTCCTACCATGGGACGCATGACGGTCGAATAGAACTTCAGGTCTCTCATTTCTTCTTCAACGCCTTTACCCCAGTACCAATACAAAAAATCACTTATCCACAAAACCAGCCATTCGATTAAGGATTTTGGTCGATCAGTTTTCCTTATACGGAGTATTTTCCCCAACTTTGGTAAAGAGATTACCACATTCATATTTCCTTCTCCTCTGTATATCCATTCGGAAGGGATTTCAAAATCTGTGACCGGGGCACTTTGATCCATAAGTATACTGGAAAGCATTCCTGAGAGGTAAGGAAACACACTGAATAATTAAAGGAATCATCTCTTCTATCAGTTTGAAAATAGATCATTATAAACTTTCTCTCCTTAGATTGTGCAATATGTGTATCAGATTACCTAACTCCAAGAACTTACTTTTTAAGGTATCCAGAAGAACCTCTATCGTGTATAACCGCTTCAAGACATTCTCAATGTTAATTTTAATCATTGTTTTTTTTAATGTTTACATCATTTGGAATTAGTTGGGTGTAATTATGCACAGTGCAAATGTCCAAGGTGACTCAAGGCACAACCGTACTGTACCATCATAATCAAATCGTAATTAAACTTAAACGTCACTATTTATTTATGTAGTAAACTAAAGTGCAAGTTCAGTTATGACGTAAGAGATGCGAGATGCGGTAGCAAAGATTGATTCCTTTTCGACCATCGGTTAATCCATTCCAACGTCTGTTCGCCATCGGTTGAGGCGCAGACATACTTGTCCGAATTTCGTGATATTTTTGCGAATTAAATAGATGCCACAATTGCTGCAAAACACGCATACAAGTTGAAATATTTCAGAGTTCGTTTATAGGGCTGGTAGGCCGTGGTCGATCTTGGTACTCGCAGTCAACACATATACCATCAGAAGTCTGCCGCAGTAGTAGACGAAACGTTTGGTTCTTCAGATTCTATTCGATTACGACTCACCAGCCCTGATTTTGTTATCTCTGATCGTGACACTAACCGTAAAAGCCTATGAACCTTCATTCAAGTTGATTGTACATTTCTTCTTTGAGCGTCTATGCAAACCATATTTTTTCCAATTTGATAGCCGCGTAAAAAAAATAATTATGTGTCTAGTTTCAAAACCAGATGAGTAACAAAATTGTTCATTTTGAGTTAATCTCATTTTCTATTTGGGAATAATTTAAAAGTATTCGCTACTGTCATATTCATGAAAAAAGTGATGCCATTGTCAACATGATATAGAAAAAATCAATTTTGGAACGTTTAAAATGTTCTCAGAGCACTTTAATATAGAAGTCTACAACTTTAATAACGTAGCTTGCCATTTTGGGGCACAAAACTGTCAGTTATCTTTCAATAACATAATTCTATTCATCGGAATTTAAAAATACTTTTCAGAAACCCCAGCAACTTCCCCAATCATTCTTAACCTAAACCACAGAATACCTCATTTGGCGACACTTCGACGTTGAGGGGTCAAGTTTCTGTGACCTTTATTATATGTTGGATTTTAATGCCATTTTTAGCGGTACATTCAAATTATTTGAACCTTACCAGATATATAATTTGATTACACTCGAGGAATTATTATGATAACTCTGTAGGTTGTTAGGCCAACATTTCAATAATTTCAACCAAACTATTTTAATTTTACCTTTCTCAAGTTCAATAACCACTCGACGAAATTTTTAGGTTGACAGAATTCACTTCGAGATTCTCAAAAACTCTGTTGCATGCTCAGTATTTCTTCTATTAGGTATTCTGTGCATGAACGTTAAGGATTTGATAAAATGTGCTTGAGTGGGGATTTTCGTAACACTTCATTATCAAGTTTAAAACCAACTTTTTATTTGTTATTTCTGTCCATGTAGAAATTATTGCGTTCCAAATAGAACGTTATTGAAAGAGGATTGATAGTTTTAAGGTCCAAAAGCCAACTATTTAAGTTCACTAACCAAAATATAGAATATTGAAGTTGCCGAGTTCTGAACTGAAGCAGAGTTGAAATATTTCGGAATATGTAATGTAATAGAGTCATTCATATCGTTGCTCTCCGTCTACATTCGATCATTTACTTTTATTATATTCATTCATTTATTCTGACAACACTAACATTTGAACACCGTACAATGTATGACGGTGATTTGGTTGACGTTTCAAACGTCAACCTGTGAACCAAACGTCAAGTTTGGTTCACAGGTTTTTTCAGGAAGCCGTGTCCCGAATATAATCACTTTTTCATGAATGAAACAGTTATGGTTACTTTTGGAACACATAACAAAGATTTTGGTTTATGGAAACTGAAAGTCATAATTCTTTGTCATAAATCATAGAGATTGACCATTATTTTCCAATTTATTGTATTGATAGTGATTAAGATGAATATTGAAGTTGGCCGCTTCTTTCCAAGAGTTACTTTTAAGTTTTAATAATTCGTCAGAGGAAAATGAAAATCAAAGAGAGCCTCTAACATTGAAGAATTTCATGATGTTACAATAAATGTCTCAACTATTCTATAGTCCAGTCTGAGTCTGTGGCTTATTCAGTATTCAGTGGAAACTGGGCTTAACTTAGAGTTTAACCCCACTTTTCTCAAATATTCTTTATTTTCGTTCGTATATTTCCAATAAAATATTAAGTAGGTCTTTTTTTCTTTGATATGTTTGGTTTGAAGTATTCAACACGTTTTACCACTTATTTAAAACAATCCAATCATTTATTGAATCTGTTTTCCCACATATCAAAAGACACTTGCCTTGTTCATTCTAAGATACGTTATTTCAGCCACAACATGGGCTTACCCCTTTGTGATGTGATTAAAAGACTACAAGAGTTAGCTCCTTTGAAACTAGCTGAAGGTTGGGACAATGTGGGACTATTGGTGGAACCAACCTCCAACACAATTATAAACACTGCGCTGCTTACAATCGATCTCACTGAAGACGTCGTAGAAGAAGCTATTGAAAATAAAGCTGGGCTGATTATTTCCTATCATCCTAATATATTTAAGCCTCTCAAACGAGTCACACAGAGGTAAACAATGATTCAAACACAGATTTTAGATCTTACGAATGTTTTGCAGCCACTGGAAAGAACGGATAATCTCTAAGTGCATAAGAAGTGACATAGCAGTGTTCAGCCCCCACACTTCATGGGATGCAGTGGAAAATGGAGTAAATGACTGGTTAGCATCTGCTTTCAATTTAAGATTCAGCAAGCCAATTGTGGAGAACTCTGATGATCCAACAGGAAAATCTGGAGTTGGGAGAATAATAACGATGGCCGCACCTTCACCTCTGAACAAAATAATTGAGGATGTCAAAAAACATATTGGCATTCCTCACCTCCGAGTAGGCTTGGCAAAACATCAGGATATGGGTAAGCTTTGTTTGAATAATGATGTGTCGATTCAGAAGAAAGATTTATTCATACAGAAGCAAAATCTGGTGTTCTCAAACTACTCAGAAAGGAAGTGGCTTAACATTTTCGTTTGATGCAAAATATTGCTCATCTTAGTAACATCTGTTCTTATCTGATTCAATAAAATACTTTCGTAATATATTCTATTATGTACTAAATCGTGAGGGACTAGTTCAGCTTTTTTCCTGATTCAGTATCATTCTTTTAATATTATTTTCTATTACTTGTAGTAGTTTGTATCCTATGAAATTATATCTCATAGTATTTATTACAACTTAATAAGTGATCTGAAAAGGTATTTTTTTAAAATGGGGTTCACTGCAACTTCCCTTTAGGTTTTTAATTTGTGACTTCACCAACTCTTGTTTCAGATACAATTATTTCATCGATAGCTGTTTGTGCTGGTTCAGGAGGATCTGTATTAAATGGAGTTAAAGCAGATTTATATCTAACAGGAGAAATGTTACATCACGATGTCTTAGAAGCGACTCAAAATGGAATTAATGTCATTTTGTGCAATCACAGTGACTCAGAAAGGGGATATCTCAAGAATTTTCAGCAAAAAATCCAGTGTCAATCATTGAAGGTGATCGTTTCTAAAGTTGATAGGGACTGCCTTGTAACTGTGTAATTTTTTATTAAAATACAGCAAAACGTCAATGTATTACCTTTATTTTTTTCCTAACGGTTTTGTGACACAATAAATCAACACCTTATTCTATATCCAACTATTTTTAAATCACTAAAATCTGTGGGGCCTCAAGGGCTTTTCCACATCAAATAATTCGGGATCTTGAAGGAAAATAGGCTCCTTGGAATAAGTTCCCATCAAACCAGCACTCTGGGCTTTTACAATTTCCTTTTCAACCAACTCTTGTTGTTTGGAACACAGTCCGGTAATGTGTTTTCCATAGATTCGACCGGTGTAGGGAGATTGGAACTGCGAGAGCAACCGTACATTTTTGTAGTCTGCTTGAATTTTGTGCTTGCATAAGATGCACTCCCGCTTTTCTCTCTCGTATGGATTTTCCATGTCAAAGTCTGGGACGTCTGTGGAACATGATCGAATTATTCTCGAATAATCTGTAATATTACAGGGAAGTTAGTTGTGAGGCAAAATTCTGAATATAGAAAACCTACTGACAACAGCTTTTAAATTGAATTTACGAATTAAAGAGTTCATTATTTTCAATAATTAATCTAATTTCAAAATTCACAGGAAATAAAAGGTTATATTCCACTTCTTTTCTCTTTCTTTTTTAATGGTCGTTGTTTCAGACTCGAACGCATTTGACCAGCCTCCTCCTGTTAATAATGGCGGGAGCTTTGTCGGGGGGGAGCAGTGGTCTTGCTTTATGTAATGCTGCCACCCTATTTTCTTTTTAATACTTTTTTCGAGAATTACAAATGAAAAATTATATGATGAATGATGAAAAACAGTTAATGTGAACAGTTTCAGCAAAACATCCTCCTTCAATGAATTAATTCAACTATAAAAATCGCACATTAGAAAAAAGTTGAAGTGAAAAAGAATCATTTTCAAAAAAATTCAACAGGAGAATGGTTATTGTTGGACTTTCAAACTCCTAATGTCCAAACATATGACTTTACCTTTCTTCAACAACATTAATGAAATATCAATTTGATAGTTCGTACTGGAACCTCTGGCGTAAAATGAATCTATTGAAAACACTTTCCCAACACCACAACAAAAATTGCGGTCTCTCGACGAGCGTTTCGCTAACCAAGTTAACGTCCTCAGGAGATCATTATGACATAATGATGACCTGAGGACACTAACTTAGTTAGCGAAACGCTCGTCGAGAGACCGCAATTTTTTCTGGTGTTGGGAAATTGTTTTCAATGGAATGGAATATTAGTTTCGATTGATGATTCTTTGGGTTCAGAAACTCTTCAAATATGGTATTTCTAACCATTTTGACTTCTACCAGTCATGAACTTTGGGTTGATGTTACATCTACAAAGGAAGACTTTGGTGAAGATGAGAATAATAAATTTTTAAAGGGGGTCTGAAAAAAAGAAGAAGAGAATATCAAATCGAATGTGCAAGTGATGTAAAAATTCTAAAATTGTGTGATTTTTTAAAGTAAATATATTTCATTACGTAATCAACAATAATAAAAATCTGCTTAGACTATTGATACAGAAATGTGTTGAAAATTCAGAACTATTTAAAAACAAACGAAACCTGAAATCATCCGTCAATGTCAAGGCAATAAGTTCGAGGTGAATCTTGTGTTATTTTTAACCAAAATTATATATATACCTCTTGAAGATAATATCAAATTTGCATTGACAACTGGGTAAGACGAAATGAGCTTGTAATTATTATTATCTATTAATTCAGATTTGAAAACAATGTTTTAGTACAGTTGAGGTTGGAGTGTTAGCTGGAATATGCCCACAAACAACCAGGTTCTTAAAGTTTTTTTATTTGCATGTGTCTGTTTACCTTAGTTATGTATCGTAGATATTACTGCCAATACGTGAGTAGGTATTTTCAAAATAAATTGAAATTTGGACACATCCTTCCTATGATTGGAATAATAGATAGATAAAAGAGAAATCTGTAATTTTAACCAAGATTTTATGGCAAATATTTGCTGATTTACAATATTTCGCTTCTAAGAAAATACTTGTTCTACTCTCTCTACAAATACTGGACTATACAGATTTTCTCATTGTTGAAAATTTTGGTTCAGATCCTGATTTAGACTTTTGTTTGGAGAAAATGTATGATGAATATTGTTTGTAAACCATTTATTTTATTTTTCATTTGGTTGCAATCTTGGAATGATATAATAAACATTTTATCCAATGCTTTAGATATCCAAAGAATATAATATTTTGAAAGTGTCCCAAAATGAAAACTATAGTTAATTATAACATTTACTTCGAAGGAAAAGGATGAGAATCAGTGGGAATGAATATATTCAGCTCTTAATCCTACCATGACATTATTGAAACGTCACTTCTTATTCCAAAACAAATCAAATATTGTATTCCTGCTTTTTATGGTAATTTTCCCAGCTGTATTCCCAGTTAGTAGTACAAAACTGACTCCTATGCTTGTTTTGATTACTTTTTCACTTTTTTTTTGTTTCAGTTCAACTTGGAATGTGCTAGTAAATGCTGAATGTGATTTCATTTCCGAACACTGAGTAGCACGCATGATATGGCAGCTTTTGTAAACCGCACAATTTCTATGATGTCGGGCGACGGACCACACAATGTGTCTCCAGTTCCCGTTAGGGCTATTCTTACCGATAGGGGAGTGAGGGTTCCTCTTGATAATTCTCCCTTGCAGATTTTCGTCAAGGCCAAGAAGAAGATCAATGATATTTTCGGAGAGATCGAGGAATATGTCAAAGATACTGTGGAATATATGCACGGTAAGTGTCTGCTTGAATTTTTTTGTATCTAGTATTTTTCACTAATTCCAGAATGATTATAATATGTATAATCGATTTTAGGATTGGTACTTTTAAGGGTTTGCAAGTATTCTAGCCTCATTAGTATGTTCTTAGTAATTACTTTGTGATCTCAATAGTTCCTAAATCAATTGTTTATCAATACATAAATTAACGGAAGGTTTGAATAAAACAAAAAAAATTTCAATAACCATTTCACATCAAGTAATGATAATGGTTTTATTTCTAATATAAAATACCGAATCTTAAATTCAAGTATGTTCCTAATAAACCTTTCTTATAAATTAACTAAAAATCTGTACTTTTTAAGAAATCGAAAAAAACGAGAAAATAGTTAATGGCGAGAAAGTCAAGGAAATCGAAGAATTCGTCAACAAAGTACACAGCATCAGAGACGTTCTCTGCAGAGATCATATGAAAGTAGCCTTCTTCGGAAGAACATCCAATGGCAAAAGTAGCGTAATAAACGCCATGCTCCGCGACAAAATACTACCCAGCGGTATTGGGCACACCACAAATTGCTTCTTACAAGTGAGTTATTCGGATTTAGAATAGCATCCAGGTTAGATACCTGATTTTTTTTTTAGGTGGAAGGATCCGCTTCGGAGGAGCCGTACGTGATCCTAGAAGGCTCTGATAAACGTTGTGCCATAGAATCCGTGGGCCAACTGGCGCATGCCCTATGTAAAGAAAAATTGAGCGAATCTTCCCTAGTCAGGATATTCTGGCCTAAGGATAGGTGCCTTTTGCTCAGAGACGATGTGGTCTTTGTAGATTCCCCTGGAGTTGACGTCACGCCTAATTTGGACGAGTGGATAGACAAACATTGTCTGGATGCTGACGTTTTCGTTCTGGTCGCAAATGCTGAATCTACCCTCATGGTTACGGTGAGTAATGAAATACAGCAGTTGAATGATAGTCTCGAATGAGTAATGGTCATGTCTCAGAAGTTGAGTACTATAATATAATTTTTTTTTTCCTTCAAATAGGCATCCTGATATATAAAAAACATTTTAAAATTGGATAGACAAAGTCACAGTCCAACTTCATAACAGTAAAATATGTATGCTCGAAATTATCCAAGCATTCAATAAATAGGAAAAATGACAATGTAAATTACAATTACTAGATATAGATGTTATTATAATATCAACGTTAATGTGGATGTTGTATCTTCAAATGACTAGTAAGTCCTTTTTTAAATGTCATAATAGATTCACTTTGCTTTATCTCAAGCGGGAGGTTATTGTAGTCCTTTATGGAATAAGTAGTTCATGTATTGTGTAAAGTTCAAATGTGGTACATATAAATTAGAAATCCCCCTGGTGGAATAATTATGAATTTGGTGATGGAAAACAATAAATTGGTCAAAACATGGGGGTGCATTGCCGTACAATATTTTGAAGATGAGGACCATGGTAAGATAGAACAGACAGTTTTTCACAGAAAGCCAATCCAGAACTTCTAACATTGTTGTAGTTGGTGGATATCTATTACATCTTAAAATTAGGCGCATGCCTCTATTCTGAAGTTTTTGCAATGTAGACAAACAATTTGCATCAAGTTGTGATAGTAAACTAGCGCAGTAATCGAAATGTGGTTGAATGATTGATTTGAAAACTGTAATGGTAGTCTGAAACGGTGAGCAACCATTTACACGGCCAAAGAAAAATAGTTTTTTAGCAATTTTATTGCGGTTTTTCATATTCAGTGTTTGATCCACTATGAACCCCAAATATTTGAATTCCTCGACAATTTCAGTTTGTGATTGTAAATATTTATATTTATAGATGTTTTGTCAATTGAATTATGTTCATGTTTTGTTGTAATTATCATTGCTTTCTTTTTATTGACATTGAGCTTGAATTTATTAATGTTGAGGAATTCAGATATTCTGATCATAATATCATTAATTTTATTGATAGCTGTTTGTAATTCAGGTTCACTCACTGCAATCAGAGTGTCATCTGCAAATAGGTTGATGAATTCACATCCATTATTGAAGTTGATGTCATTAATGTAAAGAATAAACAGAAGCGGGCCCAAGACACTTCCTTGAGGTACACCATTATTGACACCTTTTAGGTTTGAATATGTCCCGTTAATTTTAGTCTGTTGAGTTCGACCAGAGAGGTAGCTTTCAAACCATTCAAGTACTGAACCTGAAATTTCATAATATTTGAGTTTTTTTAGTTGTCTCAAATGCCCTTTTGAAGTCTAGAAACACTGCCACTATATATTTATTATCATCTACAGCAGGTTTTCATTTGGATATTGAAACTTGAAATGCTGTTTCATATGAGTGTTTAGATCGAAAACCGGATTGGTTCATCATAATCAGTTTATTACTTTTAATGTAATCAATCAATTGTTCATATACCGTCGTCTCAATCATTTTTTCAATGGGAGATAAAGTATTTATCGGCAAAAGTTTATGGCTTCATTGGTATTACTGATTTTTGGTACAGGAATTACTTGTACTATTTTTAGTTTTTGCGGTACTTTACCAGTTCTGAGTGATGTATTGACCATATTTAATAATACTTCACCAATTGCCTCAAACATACTTTTAAGTACTTTGTTGTTTATATAATTGGAGTTACATTTGCTATCAAAGTTTCTAATAATAGTTCTAAGTTCTGACATTGATAATAATCTAAATTTAGTTATCTCACAATTAATAGGTGGGAGATTATTGTTAGTCCAAAGTGAAGAATGGGGAATGGTGTTCTTGATGTCTACTATAATATCAATGAAGAAATAATTGAACTTCTCGGCTTTTTCTATATCATGGGTGACTTGACAGACTCCTTGAGCTGCTGGAAATAATATTGTGTGTGGAAGTGAATCGTTCTTCTTTTTGGCTAACGCCTTTAGGATTTTCCACATTCCTTTCGAGTCCTTCAATAAATTATTGATTTTATCAGCATAATAATTGGTCTTTTTGATTTTCAGTAAATTAAGAAGTTCATTTCTGCAACTTTTATAAATAACTCATTTGAGTTGTTTGTCATCTTCAGTACAACATTTTTTAAAGTCTTTATATGCTCTATCTCTACATTTGGTCAACTCTCTAACTTCATTATCATACCAAAGGGAGTTGACCTTCTCTCAAGTTGAAAGTTTTTATAGAGGAAGTGGTATCAATATTTGTTTTCAAATTTTGTTCAATGTTGGAATATATAATAATTTTTTTACTACAGAATGGCGTCACAGTACTGTGTTACGGTTTTGTTAACTTTCAATTGAAACTCTGGCATTAAAGAGTGTTTTTTCAATAAGATATGAACTCCTCACCTGAAAATATATTTGAGTACAAGTAAAAATGTGAACGTAAAGAATTTGTACTTGCTTTTCTAGTAATTTTTTAAATACTTCCCACTCTGTGTTTTGTGAATTTTACTGATGACGTATGTATATTCTTGTATTTTTGTATGTTAAATAGTAGTTTTCAGGAGGAATTCTACAAATTCTATTTCCGATAGTAACCTTTCTATAAAAGCGTATTGTTTTGCTTCCAGGAAAAGAACTTTTTTCACAAAGTGTCAACAAAATTGTCCAAACCGAATATTTTCATTCTCAACAACAGATGGGATGCATCTGCCTCTGAACCTGAGTTTTTGGATCAGGTGAGTTTTCATATTAATTTTTTTTGGCTAGTATTAGTTTTCACTCATAATGAACACCTCATTTTCGCATGCATTGCATTGCTTATCCAGATTCACAACAGTTTATAAGTTCATTATAATGCACAGTAGCTTCATTTCTGTTTAGCTTGAAAGTTTTTTGTGGTTCAAGATGAGCGAGTTAACCTTATTTTTTTCTTATAAGCATTGCAATGAGCAGGAAGAGGTGAGTTAGAAATAAATTAGTTACTTTATAGTTCAAATCGAATGAAAGTAGTCTAGAGAAAAACTTGATTTCTGTTCTACATAAGGCATGTATTGAATTATATTTTGCTTTATCCTCAGGTGAGGAGACAGCATCAAGAAAGAGCCGTTGACTTCCTTGTGAAAGAGCTAAAAGTGTGCACTCAAAAAGAAGCCGAAGAAAGGATTTTCTTCATTTCTGCCAAAGAGGTTCTCCAGGCACGAATGCACGAAGCCAACAAATCTCCCCTGCCTCCTACCGAAGGCTTCCAAACCAGGTGGTTTGAATTTCAAGATTTCGAAAAGAAATTTGAGGAGTGCATATCAATATCTGCAGTCAAAACGAAGTTTGAGCAGCATTCGCAAAGGGGAAAATATATTGCAAAGTGAGTAATTTATATTCAAACCTATTATGAATCTGAATTTAGCGGAAACTAAATCCAATGTCAGGTTAGCAGATGAGTGACACCTCATTAGAGTAATTAAAACAGTTTAAGGGCACTTCACAAATGAACCAGTATTGAATCACGTTTTTTTAGGTTGTGGAAGGTGAAAATCCCCAAAGAGGTCGATACAAAACATTCATCTATATTATTTCTTCATTCTATTCAAGACATCTTTGTTATTTCCTTTTTTACATTTTCAAGGTCAGCGAATGCCTCTCGTTGGGCGCCGGCCATAATTAACTTAACCGAATCTTGAAATCATAAAGATTAATTTCGGTTTTAATTAGAGTAAGAAACCTAGGGGGAATGTGTGAAAAATTATACTGTTTTTGTCAATGAAAAACACTTCAAAAAATCGTTTTCAAATGTTCTGACCAGAAAGTTCATTTTACTAAGATAACTGTAATACACAGTAAGATCAACTTTTCTCATTATGTCTCAGGTTTTTGTCCAGAGAGTAATAATTTTTTTATATAAGAATATCTTGATCCTCTATATGAAATAAATCAGATGAGTAATTTTTTTCCTTTCAGCCAATTACGAGACATATTAGAAGGGGTATACAACGACGCTCTGCAACTAAAAGAAGAAAAACTGAAGAAGCGCAAAGAACTCAACGACAAAATCAACTACACCGAGCAACAGCTCATGGTCGTCACCCAGGAAATGAAGAAGAAAATCCACAACATGGTAGAAGACGTGGAACACAGGTAAGTTGAAAAAACTCCCAAAGGAAAATGTGTTGCGACTCACTTTTCCAGGGTCTCGAAGGCTCTGAACGAAGAAATTCGCCGTCTAAGTACTCTCGTTGATGAATTCAACTTGCCCTTCCATCCGGAACCTCTGGTGCTGAACGTCTACAAGAAAGAACTTCACGTGCATGTAGAAACTGGTCTAGGGTCGAATTTGAGGGCGAGACTCTCCACCGCGTTGGCTTTGAATATGGAGGCCAGTCAGAAGGAGATGACAGAAAGGATGGAAATGCTCATTCCAGACAAGAACAAGGTGGCGAGTAATGTAATCTTGCCCAGACGGCAACCGTTCGAGATACTGTACCGTTTGAACTGCGATAACTTGTGTGCCGATTTTCAAGAAGATTTGGAGTTTAGGTAGGATGTACTTGCTTTTTTAAATATATGACATGAGTATTCAATTAGTACTACTCAATCAAATATCTCTTTAAAAAAATTCCAAATATGAAATCTTTGTTTCATAATATGAAATTCTTCTTTATTTCGGGACACTCAAAAACAATTTGGCAACGTCGCAAGCGCAGTCAGAAAACCAAGAATACAGGAAGAAGAAGAAAATTGAAATGGGCAATATGAATAAGTTTTACGGTGTTGCCAAGTTCATATCAAATGGTAGTGATGTCATGACCATAGTTTTTACTCGATTTTGAATAAACTACTGACAAAAAATTGTTGAAAATATTAAACGAGGAACTATTATTCAACATGTAGTTTTCACCTACACGGTTATTCCAATATCGGTTTCAAGGTCCACTTGCATTCTGTTATATGACTTTCATGACTTGTCCTTCAGGTTCTCATGGGGTATAACTTCCCTCATCCAAAAATACGCAGGCAGCGGTGCCAACTTTTTGGCTCTCAAATCGAAACGGGAGAGTCCGCACAATTCTGTTATGCCTTCCAGTCCTACGGATGTCGTAGACGGCAGGATGATGTACCCTGCCGTTGGCATCGACGATTGGTCGTTGCTGTCGAGAATAGCGATAATGGGTGCTACGTCGCAGGGAACGATGGGCTGCCTGCTCGTGGCAGGTTTCCTCTTCAAAACTATCGGATGGAGAGTGGTGGCAGTCACAGGTGAGAAATATTATTGATTATAATCATTTTATATCATCGACAACTATATCTGGTAAAAAATTAGATAGATTAGATGGAATCACACCGGTGTACACATTGTTTTGGTTCTTTCATATTGTTTCTGATCAACTTGAACATTATAAATTCCGATTGTTTTTGTTTTTCTAGGTGCTGTCTACGGTGGTCTATATCTGTATGAACGCTTGACGTGGACGAACAAAGCCAAAGAGAAAGCTTTCAAGAAACAATACGTCCAGCATGCCACCAGGAAACTTCGAATGATCGTCGATCTAACGTCTGCCAACTGCAGCCACCAAGTTCAGCAGGAACTGAGCGGTACCTTCGCCAGGTTGTGCCACGTTGTTGACGAGGCGAGTGACGACATGGATAAACAACTGAAGGGGTTGGAAGCTGAAGTTAGTGTATTGGAAAAAGCCGGAGGTGAGACTTGTATTTGAAAATATTTTCATTTGCTGTGTTGAAACTTCAGAACACTGTCAAGTCGTTATCATATTATTCTCATGTAGTAAAAGGATGGTAAAAAATTTGAATAGAGATTAGAATTTCAAACTATTGAGAAGAAAATCCGGTAATGAGTTTTCTGTAAAGAGATTTCAGAAAGCGCAGTAATGTACCTCCCAGAAAATGTGGCTAAAGAGCATCCTTTGCGTTTAGTCAACTTTTAGGATCAGATTTCGAAATTTAGGATGGAATTATGACCAAAGACATGCAGACCAACCCAACTGGGAAAACTGAGAAGTCATAATAATAATATATAAACCACAATGTCAAAAAACAGTATATTTACAGCTATATTGAATCACATAAAAGGTATCTTATACAATGTTTGGGGCAATGAATTACAACAATTAATTAACAAACTAGGAAGAGCGCAAAACAAAACAAAGAAATTTCTGTATAACTTGTTTCGATCAACTTCCACAAACATTGTTTATGAAATAACCGGATTCCTAAAAATATAAAAAATTATTACACTTGAACAAAATCTTATACATGGAATCTTGAATAAATACATCTCATGTAATACCACCATGGAAATAGTAGGAGATACACATAATTACATTACAAGAAATGCGGTAAGACTAAAACTAATATATGTGAGAACAAAGAAAAATCAGGATATACTCATCATAAAAAAGCCTCAAACAGGATGATAAAAAGCCTCAAACAAGGATGAAAAAAGTTGGAAAATTAATAACAAATCCAAAAATCATAGTCAAAATCAATCAGTATCCAAGCTGCATTATAAAGGGGAATGTGTGACAGATTTGAGGGAAATTTGTAATATGTTCAGTTATCACTTCAATGATTTGCAATGTCCCCCAGTTAATAATAATGAAATCAAACTAATATCTTATTTCCATCATACATTCTTTCTCTCTCCTACTAATGCATATGAAATTGAGGATTATATTATGAAAACCACCAAGAAAACAGCTGAAGGTATTGATGAAATTTCTGGAAGACCGTTGAGAAATGTCGGAGAACATGTAAAAGAGCCACTAGCACACTTAATTAATGAAACGTTCGTTACAGGTCAATACCCAACAAATTTGAAAACCATAGAACACCATAATTCAGTGTTGAACTATAAACATGGATTTAGGCAAAATAAATCAACAGCCGTAGCAGAACTCTGTGAAAACATTTATAACTATTTGAACAACAAACAAAACACAATAGCTCTATACTTCGACTTAAGCAGTGTATTTGATACTGTAAGTCATGATATGTTGATAGAAAAATTATGTCGAATAGGAGTTCGGGGAGTTGCAAATGACTGGATTATAGCATATTTGAAAGATAGAAAACAGATTGCAGTATTGAATAATAATAGATCAAAACAAAAAACAATATGGGTATTCCACAGGGTTCTATAATGGCCCCAGTACTCTTCATCATTTTTATGAATGATATGATCAACTCATGTCCAAGTGCGCAAAATATAATTATGTATGCCGACGATACCAATTTTCTTATCTCAGAAAAATCAATATGTGATATGGTACTTAGATCCAAGAGTGTAGCGAATGAATTCTATAATTGGTGTACTTACAATGGTCTAGTGGTGAATTTGGAAAAACATGCTTCATGCAGTTTCTAACGAAAAATCTGAATAGGGATTCTATTTTATTAATAAGAGTAAATCATAGTAGGTTTGAGCAGATTGATGTTGCTTGCTTTCTGGGAGTTATATTGGATAATAAAATGACATGGAAAAATCATATAAATGAAACACCACCGAGCTGAGTAAAGTCTGTTTTGTAATAAGACAACTGAAATCAACTGAAACTCTGAAATTGGCATACTATGGATTGGTTCAATCAACACTCAGTTATGGCCTAATGTTTTAGGGTAGCTCAAGCTACCTAAATCAGATATTTATAATCCAAAAAAAATCATCAAAAGTAGGATTGGAGTCGAGCCTAATACATCTTGTAAATCGATTTTTCCAAAGATAGGTATTCTAACAGTGTATTCACTATATATATTTCAAATTACTCTGAATATTAAAACACAAGAGAATTCCATTCTTAAAAATAGCAGTTTACACAAGTACGATACAAGAAAATGTGGTAACCTACATCAACCATACTCAAGATCAACCATTGGGCCAAACTCGCACATATATAAAGGTATTCTCTGCTATAATAGATTGGTTTAATAGCAAAATTGATCTTGCCAATCTGAGGATTTTCAAAAACTCCCTGTACAAGTATTTAGCAACCAGGGCATTCTACTCGTTAGAGGAATTTGTAGAGACATGAACTATTATGTTGTAATTAGGTATATTTTTATATATGTCTGTATTTGTTTTTTATACTTCTTCACGTGCTGATTTTTATATGAAGAGTAAATACTGAATTTACATCATATTTTGTGACGAGTCCAATAAGTTACACATTCTGTACTCCTTTTTGTAATAACTTCAGTGACGAATAAAGTTTTATTCTATTCTATAGAGGAATCCAGCAATACAATAAACTTCCTGTAGACTTCACAAACATTGCTTCCAAGACTAAATTCAAAAAAGCTTCAAAAAAAATTTATTCGAACATGCTAATAACTGTTTGTGAAAGTAGGTTGATTGAGTATAATTTTACCATGTTAAAGCTATCGAACAATAGTTACACCAACATGTAGTTGTGGAACTTTATTTTATTTTAATTTTTTTTTAACCTTTATATTTTAAAATTTTTGTCTTTATATACATACTTTTTGTTTTTATTATTTTGGTATTAAAATAACAGATTATATCAATCAAAGAATTCTTTGTAGGCCATAACATCAGATCTATTCTGATTACTGGCCAATTATATGTTTATAAATGAATAAAATAAATACCTCAAGAATTATAAGGTCAATACACACTTTCTAAATAATCTTGGTTCTTCGGGATAAAAAATGATGACATAGAATAAGTAAAAAGAAGAGAAATATAAATATAAAAGTCATGTTGAAGTTGCACATTAAAATTACTACTTGAATAAAATTATATACTGGTAAAAAAATCAATCATTGAACAGATATGTTTCTCGATAAATATTTATTTATTCATCAATTTCTATTTTAATCCCTTCAAAGTAGTCCCCTCAGATATAATAAATACACTTGTGCCAAAGTTTTTTCAAATTCTCAAAGCAGTTTTGGTATGTCTTTGATCTCTCTCCGGATTCGATTTTTATGATAATAATAATAATGGTCTTTATTGGGTGAAATAGAATATAACAACCAAGAGGCGAAGTTCAAAACTGTAGTGTAGAACACTACAGGTTTGTTCTACCAATTAACCTTCTGTTCTACTACTCAACCTCCACTTAACCTCAATCTTGGAACAGGCTATTCTTTCTTGGGACGGTTATTTTGAAGTTAACCTCAGTTACCTGTATGTATTTGTCATTACTTTTGAAATTTATAAACTTGATTTGAAGATTGGTTGATTACCAACAATATAAAACACTTGTAAAATGTTCTTGAATCCTGTTTTTCATTCCGTTTCAGGCAATGCAAAAGTCCTCAGGAATAAGGCCAACTACCTAGCGCACGAGCTAGAGCTGTTCGAGAATGCCTACTTGAAACTACACCACCACTAGTGCCGGTGGAGAACCCTCCGTATTAGTTGAATATATTTTAATTCGTTAGCCGGGCCGCGCGTATCCAGCTATCCGAACTTTCAACTATTTATTACGTTCTGTATTATCTTCAACTGATTCGCAACACTTTCGAGAACCTGGATGAGCGCGGCTTCACATTTGTGATAGATTTAACATTGTATTAAGCTCCTACACTCGATTCTATACAGAATTTTATATCATTTAACGGAACAGTTTACCTTGATTATTTTCCGGCCTGGTCCGTAAGAGGTTTTATTTATTGTTTGCGAGACTTTCGGCCATGAAATATATATATACATACACATTTTGGTCTGTCGGATTTTTGACTGTTTCTTTGAAGCGATTACATTATAATTTTCAGGAAACAAATCAAGCTTGAGTTCCGATTGTGGATCGGAATCGGTCCACACTGTGAGCAGATGATTATGATAACTTGTTGTTAGTGTACATATTAATAAAACAATAATGTTGTTCACGAGTAGTTTTATTTATGACTAACTAAGGGTAAAAAAATATAAATATTTTTGGGAATTACGACGGATTCTCGGGTTGAGTGGTGATATGGATGTCTCTAGTCTACCAGGAGAGTTTATTCGCTTCTTTGGACCATTTGTAAATACCGCCTCGTTTCTTGAACATTTGTTCGTCGAAGCCGGAAAATTTCAAAGCATTTTCTACTCCGACGTCTAGTATCGATTTTGAAGGTGTTTTCGAACCATCTCGGCAGTCCAGGAATCTCATCTGCAAGTTGAGTTGAAACAATATAATTATTATTTTTGTGGGGATTTCAATTATGTTTATTATTAAAAATTTAATTTATTTCATTTCATCTTTATTTGCCTCAAGAAAATTTTACATTTTATAGACACGTCCAAACCTTAACCCAAATAACTAAAGATAGATGATAGCTATACAATGGCTTCTTCAAGAAGCTATTGTATAGCGAAACACGTGTCGCGGTTTTTGTTAAACCCTTATAGTGAAAATCATACAAATAAACTGTGATGATTAGTTGTTTAATATGGATTTTCATCAAGTATCGGCCAATTCTATTCAATTATTGAAGATGGAGAAGTAGAAAGCCAAAACCTTCCTTACCTTTCCTGACTAATACCAAAATGCTCTGATTTCTATAAATTCCTAACCTATCTACTATTTTATTGATGCAGTGAACTTACATACTCATCCAGAATCAAGTAACTGTTCTGCATTTTTGTGTTCGATTCTGGAACCAAGCATGCTACTTCTTTGTGTCGCTCCAAAAACTCGTTGAAAGTTTCTTCTGATATGTAAAACCTTTCTGCGTTTCTTAATGCTTCCGGTCCAGCATTTTCCCCCTCCAAAAGCAGACACTGGAAAACTTTCCACCTGCATATCAAAGAAAGATTTGAATTCATATTTTCAGTATCGAGTTACTTATTTCTAGGAAGAGAAAAGGAGTGAAACAATTTTTTAAATAGATTAAAAAATAACTATGAAAGCATAGATTTCTGATGTTCTGTTTTTTGTTAACGTTCAAAATGTATTCAGTGATAAATACTTCAGACTTCTGGAATATTTTAAAATTGGAGTTATTGTCTTGTTTTATATTCAGTTTCGTCACAGAGGGATAAAATCGGACAATCATAAAATTTACAGTTTCAACACAACTAAATTCACATCCTTTTTTCATCAAACTTTCTCAATTTTATACTGTTGAGCAGTAAGTGGTTACTATATAGTCAGTAAAATCATTTCAAGCTCACCTAACAGGGTTGAGGTGTTTGATTTGTTTGCACATATTTTCATCATGGTTGTAGGTGTTAACAACAGTATTTAGTTTAAACAATACTCCGTATTTTTGACACCAGTCTCTCACTCTGAATAGTTGTTCAATGTGGTTTTTGTTACCTTGTCCCCTACCAATAGCCTGTAAATATTGATCATTCTTGAAAAATGAAAGTTTTCCAATAGGCTCTTGGATACATTCTAGTTTCTACATCACAGTTTGCAAGAATTTCTTTCGAAAACTCAATAATAAAACGCCTATACTCTGATATTGTCAGAGAATAAAGAGTTCTAATTGCGTATGCAAATCAACTGCAAGATAAATAACACTTCTGTGAAGTTTTTATTAGGTATTTGATGCTTTTCAATATCAAATAGAATAACTAATCTTTGTATATAGACTATTATAAGATGATCTACATACAATATAGACTATTATACGATAGTCTATATCAATGTAGACTATTATACGATAGTCTATATACAATGATTATAAAGGAATATTTATTATGGTTGTTTGTCTTACTTCTCTTCAAACAAAAAGTTCCTGCTACTGACCAATAGATGTCACTATGAAAGTACACCTTTTCCCTATTTTAAATATTTGTATATCCGTATATCATGCATTTATAGCGAATTCATAAGCCGTTTTTGAAGTTGTATTTATTTTCTATGCATCTTGTTCTTTTCAAACAACGTTCAAGAGGTAGTAGAATAACCGTCTGATAGTTTCCTGCATTAGATATTTATGAAAAGAAAAATACAATTTTTGAAACAATAATATGTTACAAGCTTCGACTACTAAATTATAGATGACAGTGTTCGCAAACATTTTTATCTACGACTGCTTTCGTTTAGTTTTAATTACTCTCTCGGAAAAACAGATTATGATCATGTATGCTTTTTGGATAAGGTATTTGTTGCCTTTTAATATCAAATGGTACAATCATTGGATAATACCGTGATACAAGAAGTCTGAAAAAGTCCCTGTTATTGACCAATAGATTTACTTGTTAAAGTAATCACATTTGCTTTCTCATATGGCGTGCATTTTTAGCGAATTTCCAAGAGGTTGAAAATAATAACTGTCTGATAGTTTCCTGCAAAAATACAATGTTTGAAACAGTGATATGCTACAAGCTTCGACTGCTGTATTATAGATGACAGCATAAGCGTAATTAAGGTTATACTATATTTTTTATATCAGATACATAGTTCATTATAAATTTTCCCCTACCTATATGACAATTATGAAATTTTTCACAAAGTCCTATCATAGTATAGCTAGAATCTTTCTACTGTGGTCCTGTCAGTTGTTTTTATAAGTCATTGAAGTGTTTCCTGCTTCCTGTTAGCGAAAATAATTTATTTCACTTATTTTTCAGTTACGCATGTCTATAATTATCACATCAAGAAAACATTACTGCAAAAAATTCAACAATGGCACAAATCAAACCTCAAAACATTGAACATAATCTATGTTCCACATTTATTCCCTACAGGCAGCAAGAAGTAAACACTCTTCACTTCTGTGCAGCTTCAACTGTTTATCATTCGAGTAGCGCTCAGTAGACATTTTTCCTATCACCAAAAAATGCTCCTAATCGTGTATGTTACTATATATGTTTTACCTTGTTTGTGTCTTCATTAAATGAATCACAGGAAATAGCCATTATGTCGAGGTATTTTCCATATTCCTCAAACCACTTTTCTTTGATTAGTGAACCGTTCGAAACTATAGTTACAGAAGGCAGTTTTAACTCTAGTTTGCAAAACTTCACCATCTCCCCCAAATGTTTACCACGCGAGGGGAGAAACGGTTCTCCGCCACTGAAATTTATTTTCTCCATTCCTGAAAAACATAAAATGATGCTAAATCTACATGAAATTTCATCAAAAATAATAGTGATGAATGCTAATTCAGGTGCAAAAACTAAAATAAATCTGAGAAATATTCATTTAAGTATATACGAATGATATACTAGTGGGAAATTGGATAGTGACCAAATGAACATGATATTTCATAATACGTTAGTTGACAGTTTAATTTTATTCCATTGGCGTACTTTCGGTAGAGTTGTTTAAAGTGCAAACATTATTTCCAATGACCATCAAATAACTTGCAAAAACTATCTGAAAGAATTGCTAGAAATAATCAATGAATTTCGAATAAAGGAATAAAGGATGTTATAAAGAAATTTACAAACTAGCTATGCCGAATTTGAAAATTCAATGAGTACATAATTTTTTTTATTTTGTTCAACATTCCTGTTTTATTTCACTGCTTTGTTTGAATTATTTTATGGTTATTATTGTGAATTTCTGAAATACTTTGAAAAAAAAGATATCGAATTTCTTATGTTCCAGTAAACAACTTTAAAATCAACATTTAGGTACTTCTGGTGACCCACACAAATTTTTTTCAATTGAATACTCATTATAAAAATATATTCATCTAACAAAATTCATCTCCATAACTTTAGAAACTACAAAAATATTTAATTTATATGGTTTTACACTCAATGATTAACGTACTATTAATATAAAATGAAACTGAAGATTCTTGTATTTATTCACTCAATTTCAAATATCATCAAATATTCCACATTAGTAATTATTCTGAATTCTCATTCATAATTACAATAGAGATAAATTAAATTGTTTAGGTTCAACGGGAATCGAGTCAAATTTTGGTAAAAAAATTTAGAAGAAATAAATTCCATCTTATTGAAAAAAACTCTTGAATCTGTAATGAAAACAATCTTTCTTTTTAAAAACAAAATGTATGTTTCAAATTCCTGTGTAAGCATGAGTTTCTTGATTCATTTAAACAATAAATAAAATCCTCTGGCATTCCAAAATTCTGCAAATATATTGAAAATTTGGAATTTTAATATCATTACCTATTTTGCTTTCAATATACATACCTGCATCTTTCAACATTTTCAGACCAATTTTGGCATTCTCCAAATTCAATAAAAACGACGTTCTGGCGGTGTGAAAACAGAATCCACATTCATAATTACATTTCCTTGTGAAATGATAATTGACGCTCTTTGGTATTATCACTTCATCATCCACTCTGTCTGCAACTTTTTTTGCCACACCAGATACACCCTTTCTTCTTTGTAAAATGGCTTCGACAAACACTTCAAAATTCAGTTTTTTGACGCTTCTACAAATGAGTAAAATCGTGACAAAAAGAAACACTTCAAAAGAAAATTCGTTAAACATTTTTGCTAGATTGTTTGGATACATTACGAAAATGTAAATGTCTGTGTACAACTGAACGTATTTTTTGCATTTCAGTTATATTTATATAAAATAACCGGTGAATCCCTCGTTGAAAGGTTTGTTTTAATTTTAGGTTTCAATGTGTACATCAAAATGGGTGGTTCCCACACAAACCAAGAGATCAACATATTCAGCGATGTGAATCAGGGTTGCCAGATCTACAATTTTTTTACTGTGATCTACCGAATGATCTCAAATCAGGGTTGCCAGATCTACAAATTTTTAACTGTGATCTACCGAATGATCTCATAGGTTCATTGAATAATATTCAGTTGATAAATAAAATTACTATTATTTCAAATGCGGAAAATAAAATACTTTTAAAAAAAATGTTTCAAAACCTGCCGCCCTACAAACGCAACCCTCGAAAGTCGAAACTTGTGGCAAGCTAATCATTAACGAGGTCTTACTTTTTAACGTGCGATTCCAATAACCATCCCAATTTGGAATTCTGTTTAGCATGAATCGATATTGAAAAATTATTTTTTTTTTCAAAAATAGCAAGGAAGAAAAATTATCAATATCAGCCTAGAATCTACGATTATTTATAATCGGCGCCCCTGTTTCTAGTGTTTTAGATAAACTATTTGAAATTAGAGTGTGAACTTTAACGGCCGGAGATAACTGTGTCAAAGCTATTTTCCGGGTTTTTTGGCCGTGATCCGCAGGGTTTTATGCTTGACGTGAAATTGACAGATGAAACTTTCAAGATGGCGACTGGGCGCTATCTGGGGAAAAAATTAAAAGGAAAGGGGGGGTCTTGTGACACGAAGCTCCTGACGAATACTTCACAACCCTAGAATATTAAATCAAAATTGTCACTTACTACAAAATGGCGGAACATTTGATAATTTCCTGAAGACAAACACATTAATATCGATATCTCTAGAAATATTCCTTTTTATCTGCCATATAGCAATTTCAAAAACCCGATAAGGTTTATTAAGTTATTTTTTGTTTATAATAACGACAAAAAATGTATATATGACAATGAACATCATTGTTCAGTTAGAATATTCTTATTTAGTTTTCGGTTTTACTAGTAGAAAGGTACCATGTCAACAATCTCTAAAATGGTCAATTCTCGTCCATGGAAAGAAAAAATTGAAGCTATATTCATTTATGGTGCGACGCATTACTTTCACGAATTGAAATGGTATACCAATTAACTGAAGATGACCCTGATCGAAGAAAAGAATTCTGCGAAATCATGACGGAAACCATTGCAAGGCATCCTACCTATCTCCACAATATTTGTTTTAGTGACGAATGTACATTTTTTCAAACGGCAATGTTCACAGACAAAAATGCCGTTATTGAAATAACACCAACCCTCACGTTTAACGGGAAACACATACCCAACATCCAGAAAAAATTAACGTTTGGGCAGGAATATTGGGAAACCATATTGTAGGACTTCTATTTATTGATCAAAATTCAACAGGGAAATACAGTTCCCCTGTTGGGTTTCCCGCCCGCTCGCCAGATTTGACACCTTTGGACTTTTTTTCATGAGGCTATTTGAAGCAAAAGGTGTATGAAACTGAGTCTGCTTCAATATTGGATATACGGTAGAGAATAATAAATATTGGTAGAGATATTGACGTTACTGTGTACGGAAATGTTCGGCGTGAAATATCGGATGGGCTGTTCATATGTCAAGAAGTTCAAGGCAACCATTTCGAGCATCTTCTGAACTGACCTCAAGCTTATTACCTCATATTATGTAGTTAAATGTCAATGTATTATGGCATTTATTAAAAGTTCCGCCATTTTGCAGTAGTTGAAGATATTGACATTATATTCTAGGGTTGTGAAGCATTTGTCAGGAGCCTCAAAAAGATGTGTAACAAGATCCCCTTTCGATTTTTTTTCCAGATGGCGCCCGACCGCCATCTTGAAAGTTTCATCTGTCAATTTCACTTCAAAGTAAAGTGTGCATGTATTAATTTCATATTTGAGTAGTTCCTCATTACTACTACATATATTTCTTCAATATACCTATGCATGGCATAATACCAAATTGTCCCTTTGCATATATTCGTACTTTACTGATTTCTAGAAATTTTTGGATAATTATATTGAATGATTGAAAATGACCCGAGAATCCTGATAAGAATTCACAAGTACTTTGTTTTGAAACAGATAATCTCATCAGTAATATGCTTGTCTCATCAATAATAATTTCATCATTTATCTTTGAGAGTTTTAAAGACGTCAATAGGTTATTAGTAATTAATTACCTATCAAAGGATTTAACTTTACTGAGATTTTTTTATTGAAATTACTCAAAAGTTTGTCCGTTTTAATGTCATGTTTTTTCGAGATGCCACCTAATATTTTGTGGGTGAAGGAAGGAGCAAACATTCATTAGATGAAAAATCGTTCTGCAATTATATACTTTTCATGAAACAGACCTGTATAATTTCTATGAAAACAGATCACTGTTAAGAGAGATGGGAGGAGGAAATCTTCAAAGATATTCTTGGCAACTATTTACTAAGAAGAATGGAAAATAAAACAACAACACATCTTTATTGTGTTTATTTATGGTCTAAATTTGTACTAAATATATATAATATATAAGTACCCTATATAAAAATACATCACTCTACACACGGTTCAGTATAGACATCATATGGGGAAGTTGAAAACGTAAATGAAATCATTCTGGATATTCCAGTTTTGCCTGTTTTAGTTGAACATTTCCTTGTAGGCCAGTTTTATACATTTCTTAATTTCCCGGGTAACACTGTATGAACTTTTATTTCCACATTTTTGTCAAAAACACTCAGTATAAAGGGTACAAAATCGAATGAACTTCTCGAATAAAAGTTAATACTGTGTAGAATGTGATAATTTTCAGTTGAGAATTAAAAACATCATAATAAATAACAAAAATTCTAATAAATTTCACAATATATCACAACGTACATCTGCTGTACAGCTAATAATTCGATTGATCCTCAATTAAATAAAGTAAGAGAGTTACTAGGAATTTCCCTTTGTGAGAAAAATACGATACCTATTTACAGTCTTATCTGCTAAGCTCGATCTAATCCTACAAAACATTATTTGTCTTTGAATTTCAATGTTAATAAATATAGGATAATTTACAAAATATTTCTACAGACAGCAAAACGATATACATATACTCATATACACAATAAATAAATATACCAAGAAATAATACTACCTGTGGGATGTCTTCAATAATATTTCTTTCACTAATCAATATTTTACAAATGTTTAATTCCAGTAATATCATGTTGACTCGATGCCAAGAAATTTGTGTTGAATAAATAAAATAAATACGAGCAGAACAGCTATACATTCAATATGAGAAATAAATGAGTACATCTTCACCTACTCATGGTGAACATTTATTATAAACAACATTCAACAAATGTTTGGCAAGTGGTGAGAGAATCAAACCCTCAAAATTTCAGTTACAATTGAAATTCAGGTGTATTCTTTCCAAATAATACAAAAATATAATCAGATAAAAAAATCTTTCATACCTATCAGAAAGTGCATTTTGGTTGAAATCGAAAGCAATAACTTATGATCTCAAATTGGCATGTGAAGTATTCCCGTACTCGTGATTACGAACATTTTATTTTGTTTCATATACATAAAACATTTTTTTATCCTTCCCATTTGATTTTAATAATCTCATGTTTGTAGGGTATTATTTTACCAAAACAGAAAACAATTCGGCAAGTCAAGATGAAAAATCCCATTCCTGACACCATATTCCTGAAACCCTTGAACTTCAACAGAAAGCTTCTAATTCGACAAAAAAACTATTCAGATGTCATGCTAGTAAAACTATTCAGATGTCATGCTAGTAAAACTATTCAGATGTCATGCTAGTACCACGAAAAATTTGCAAAATGTTTCTTCCTTCCATTATATTGTCACAATTTGATAAAAAGCATGGATTTTGAACAAAAATTCTAATAGTGACTGTATTTTCGAAGCAAATATATATCATGACCTTTCAACAACAGGCAATCTTTGTATAATCACATTTCTATGAAGGTGAGTTCATGGGATTTATAAGCACAATTAACTCAATGATGAGTAATTTCATTATGAAATTTTATGCAGGTTACAAGAAATGAATCCGTCCTAAACGCGAATGTTCCATTGTCAGAAAAAGACCATTTAAACTGAAATAACCATCAACAAATAATTGGTCTGAAACATTCATGAAATACTTCTTTTTAATATAGGTATGCTGAAATATTGTCGAGATATAAACATGAATGTGATATTTTCGGCTCGAGAAAAGCGCCCCTAAAGGAACGCTATGATTGAGGTTATGTTCTCAAACCTGACTAACTACGACACGCCCAGTTTCTCCGAACGCCTCTTCTTCTTCCTCCAGAACCTCTTCAATGGAACAACTGACGGAGCTACTGGTCGTGCTCAGCTCGTCCAGAAAATCGAAGGAAGCTACAGCTTCTCTCTCCTTGTCGCCGTATCGAACGAAGAAATCGGGTCGACCGATGATGGTGGGGCGAGCTAGAGGCAGGGCAGCTCTCACGACGGCCATTTCGGGCCTAACAGCGTGGGCTGCAAGCAGAGCAGACGTTTCACACCGTTGTCTCCGTCAGGGGGGTGCACGGTGCCGAAGTGGAAGCTTTAAAATCCCCAACATTTTTACTGAGGTACGCCGCTGATTTCGACAAAACGTTCACGAGTATTGCTTACTGATGATGATCGAATGAGAAACGAAACTAGGGCAAGCAGGCAAAAGCAGAGAGATTGATGAGAGGGTGTGGTAATAGTGTAGATATATAATAAAGCATGTGGGTTTGAATTATGTTTACATCTGAGTTGAAATGAGGCTTTAAAAATTTTACAGCAACAAGATGTTCAACACGGTAAAAATCATAACTTTCCAGTCCTAATTCTTTTCTGACCATCAGGAGTGACCATAGAAGGGATGATAGCACCCCTCACCGTAGGAAACCCCTGATGACCTTGAATCCAGTGGTCTTATTTTGAAAAGTCATGGTAACTGTCCTGTTTATGGGCCTGTCATATATCCAGTCCCTAATAGTTGTTTATGTGCCTTTTCCAGCCAAAACTTATCCACAGATTAAAGTAGTGCACTGTCAGGAAATATAGCCACTGCCACTGTTGAAGGATCGAATATCCTTTCAAGTTCTACTGATTAATAGGAAATATATTAGGTTTATTGGTCATACTCATTTTAGGTATATACCCTAACCCTTGTCGTTCTTCCTATTTTTACAATAATGGCTTCAGCTGCCAGGGCTATCCAGCCAGGAGTTCCAGAATCATGTTGCTACTTTAGGTGGAGCCCGCACTGAAGTGCACCCTCACCGTATGTTTTACTCAGAGACACCAAGAAGAATGATTTGAAGTTGATCCTGACGTGTTTATTTATGGTGTCCAAACTTGGGCTCCAGTATTTCAGAAGTGGGATCCAACATTAACTCACTCAACAAGCAAAAACGATAAACTGGCTGTGGAACATGAGTTGTCCCTGGGTTCTAGCCTTATTGGAATGCTTCGTGATTCATTCAGTGAAATAACGACTAATAGAACGCAGTGTTAATTATTAAATTTTACCTTTACATAAGACTTGAACATATGGTCCCATACACCATTTTATTTCTCTTCTGTCAAGTGTCAATTGTCTCAATTGACACTTGTTACTAGAGTGCGTTCCAATATACCGCAGAACAGATAACTAAGTTTTAGTTTTTTAAAGAAATAATTTCATAGTGATATTACCACACCTTTGTAATACAGAGTCCAACTTCATGAAACTTTGTTACTGACAAATCATATCAATAATCAAGGATTATTGGACAATGATGAATCATGAAGCTGGTTATGGATGATTTGAAAAAATCAGTAAACAAACTCAGAACAGAATAGATATTCAATCAAAATAAGTAGTTTGGAAAACAATATAAATCAGAAAAGAACTAATAGAAAGCTAAATAATACAAGATAGTGGGGAAGGTAGCTGAAAAATGAAAATAAGAATGACCAATTTTATAGAAAAGATTATTATTGTACTTCAGTAAAATGTTTGGGATCATATTGTGAGTATTGGTCATTGCCAAGAAACATGCAGTTAGTGAGAAAAAAAAGGACTTTTCAGGGATAAAATATATTTTTTCATATTACCACTGACTAGTTAAGGTTCACTATAATAATTATCATCAGCAATAAACTAACCTAGTGATTGATTGATTAAAAATCGTCTAACAATTTCTTGGTTGATTTAATTTTTATTTTCGTTTGCCAAAATAGACACTTGGAATTACAAAATAATTCAAGAGAACTTTGAGTGTTGTAGTTAATGCTATGAAAATAATTATTGTTAATCTAAGGCTCCAAGTGAGTAATCTTGAAAATAATGCTTCCTCTTATCCAAATTTGAAATTATTGACTTCTCAAATTGCATACATATTTTTTAACTGCTATCTTAATTATCTTGAAATAAGAACAGTCCAAACCACCATATGAAAAAGCACTTTTTCAAAAGCATTTCAACCTACCTTTCTTTTGCCGGTGGTATTTATGAATCCTGTGGAGGTGGCCATAATCAGGAGGATCTTCTGTCGAATCACTGGCAACGCTACCCCCGCAAGATGATGTAGGAGAGGACTCACTAGATACAGAAGCCATCATAACATCCAGTAAATTTGCTCTTGCCTGAAATTTATAAATTTTTCTCTCTTAAGTTTTGAAGAGTTTCCTATACCTAGTTGTAGATTTCTCCCTTGATTCAAAAAAGTAAATCTAGTGAAGGAGATCATCTTTCAATGGTTTTTTTGAAAAATTCAAATACTTGGGTAAGTTTCATGTTATAGACCAATAAATTCCTGAAGGAAATCAGTTGGTTAAGGAAAACTGTATTATGTGGGGTTCCACAAGAATCTATCCTTGGACCAGAAATATTTCTCGTATTATATATGTCATTTCAGAGTTAATATGTGTAATGATGACACATAATCGATATATTCAAGGAATATATGATGTCGATAAAGTCTCATCTTAGTTAATGACATTGTAAATTATCATAGAACCTCTACAATACATATTAAACAAAATTTTGGGATACTACATCAAATATACTGGTCATGGTTGCAACTTTATGAAAGATATTGGATGTGAGTGCATTCATAACACTGATAAAGAAAAATATTTATTTCATAACGAGGCAATAAAATAGGCCATAAAAAAAGTTCAACTTTCCAATATTTTACCTTCGGATCAGTCAGATCAATATCCTTCTCCACATGTACCCATCCAGTAGGGCGACAAGCTTGATCCAATCTTGTTGCTTTTGAATCTTCACTGGCTTCTTGGCTGGCCACGTTTTCGTCTCCGCTCTTGATCATTCTGTTCAACTCATCTATCACATCCTTGGAGGTGGCTCTTTCGTGAAAACTGACAGCCCTGTGAGGCGGTCCTTCGATTATGTTGCTCAGAACACCAGAAGTGCTTTGGGGAAGCTTTTCTGAGGTTATGATGTGTTGTGGGGTGTTGTTCTGTTGGACATGAATGATTTTCTGTGGGAGTGAAGGAAGAGTTTATCAGTTAACAGACATAAGAGATGTGAAGAATTTTGAATGAGTTCGAATAAACTAAAGGTAATTTTTTGTTATGAATCAGTCGTCTTGACAGCTATAATGGCAAATTATATTTTGTCCAGAACAGAAATGTATTAAAGGAAAAGTAATGTGGCATTACGTGAGACAGGAATGTTTATTCATCAATGAAGAAAATTCCTTTGCTATAATTGAAATATTTTGTTCGCAGTTAAAAATAGACTCAAAAAAACGGTCAAAATTTTTGAAATGACCTTATAGTTCTCAAAGCGGGCGATAATGCCCCCTTATGGGCGCCGGAGGCCTACAGGGGGGCAGTAAAGGACACAGAGAAGATTGGGGGGCGTTGAAGCGGTTTAGGGGGGCGATGGCTAATTTTAAAAGGTTTTTTTGTTTTTAACACAAATTTTACCGCTCCTTTACGCTCAACGCGCGTTTCCTCATGTATTGCCATCTACGGGACTAGATAGTAACTATTTCCTGTCCGATAGTTGTCAAACTGTACAATAGATGGCGGTAAGCTTCAATGCGAAGTGAGAAGTTTCTAGTCTCCATTCTCAAAAGTACTAGGCCCGCCCGCTGCCTCATATAAGAGCGCGCGCGCGCCATCCAGCCAGTAATGTCATTCGACGATATTACGAAAACAAGTGAATTTATTTAGCGACTAGCTAGGTAAAGTGTTGTACGTGCGGTGGTGAATACTGTGAGTGGTGTCATTAGCAAGTTTTCAATACTTGATTCTTTACTTCGGCATTTGTGAAGACAAAATTATGTCGAAAGCAAAAAAGAAAAAACGGCAGTATAGCGCGGAATATATAAAATATGGATGAATTGAAAATCCCACAAATCCATCTTCGCCTATGTGCCTTCTTTGTCAAAAAGCATTTTCGAATGAAGCGATGAAACCCTCAAGGCTACAAGATCATTTGAATAAAATTCATTCAGATGAAAAAGACAAAAGTGTGAAAAAGAAACACTCAGTTCAGCCAACTGTGTCGAAACTTTTTTTCAGCGGCTTTTAAGCAAAGACGAATTGATGAGAAGGCTGAAAACATTGAAGAGTCATTGTGCAATCATCTGAAGACTTCTAAATTCTCAATTCAGTTAGTTGGGCCCACTTTACCAACCAATGAAGCATTGTTGTTGTCATACGTGAGGTTTATTAAAAATGAGAGAATATATGACAAACTACTATTTGCCATAAATTCAGAGACGGATATAAAAGGAGAAACCATATATAATACACTGAAAAGAAAGAAATTCCACTGAACAATATTATATCAGCTTGATAGCGTACTTAAAAAATAAAATTCCAGATGTGCTTGCTGTACATTGTGTCATTCATAGGCAACATTTGGTTGCGAAAAATCTGAGTGAGCACCTCTCTCAATCACTGCAATATATCATCAAAGAAGTCAATAAAATCCAAAACAGGTCTTTAAATGACAGATTATTTAATCAGCTTTGTGTTGCTAATGATGAAGATTTCAACCGATTGCCGTTTCACACAGAAGTTCGTTGGTTATCAAGAGGTAACTGTCTGACTCGATTTTACAATCTATTTGACTCTGTAATAGAGTTCTTGGAAAACAAAGACAAAGAATTGCACGACAACCTAATCACTTCAAAGAATGATATTGCGTACTTGACAGACCTGTATAAATTATTTAATGATGTCAATCTCCAACAAGGTGACGAATTGAATTTGATTAAAACAAAGAATGTCATTGCTGCTTTTGTAGCCAAATTCAACCACGACGACTTGCTTGTTTACTGCCAACATTTGGAGAACCTCCACAGTGATTTCGCAGAACGATTCCAGGATATTTTGAAATTGGAAATACCGTACTGGGTGTTGGATCCTTTTTCAAAAATCAACACAGCAGGATCACCCCAGCTGGAAGAAGAACTCATAGAACTGATAACGAACGAGGAAATAAAAATAAAATTTAAAATGGATACCAAGAATTTTGGCTACAAAAGCAAATCCCTAACTAAAAAGAGAAATCGGTTGTAGAATACCGAACGCGGTGACTCACGGCTGTTTTTAAGTAAATTCGAGCCTGATATCAACAAACTTGCTGAAAATCATTTCAAAATTCAAAATGAAATGTTTTTTTTAATAACATGAATAAAAGTTTTCGTAATATTACAAAATGGTGTTTTACATCACCCTCATCAGAAAGTCTTATTTTCACATGACACACATAATTTAATTATTAAAATAATGACTGCGATTGTGATTCTTAAGATGTAGTAAAGTAAAAAAATTTGGGGGGCGCTAGAAAATAGTTAATTCTCGAAGTGGGCGGTAGACAAAATAAGTTTGAGAACCTCTGGTTTAACCTAACCTGACCTACCCTGACCAACAGCTATACCTATGACAAATATCAAATTTGCATCAATCTAATACCTCACCTTCAATTTCGGTTTGTTGCTCTTATGTGGTATCTTGCTCTTTGGTATCTTGGTATCTTGCAGGTTCTCCTTGTTATTATTGTTATTGTTACTATTATTTACAGCTATGACTCTCGCTGGGCTTACGGGAATCCTAGACGGAGTTCTCCTCCTGGGAATTTTCGAAACTATAGTCTCTGGCGTGCTAACACTGGAAGTCAATGATTCACTTGTACAATTATTCGTAGAAATATCACTGAAAGTCGTATCACTAGACTTGGTCAAGTCGCTCATTACTTTATCACTATCTACATTCTTCTCCTCCGCCTCCTTGATTTCGTCACCGTCTTTCAACACGCTGCTTTGGTACTCTAAAGAGGTTATCTCGACGCTTATGCTACTGCAAATGTCTACAGGGTGCTCACTGATGTTGGAACAATTCTCACTTTCCACATCTATGGGAGTCACTAGGCAAACCTCAGCCGCGTACGCAATGTTCTGTTTTATGCTGTCCGCAATGCTGTCCTTATTGTCTTTACTGTCGGCACTCTCCTTCTCCTTCAGCCCGTACTCCTCGCACAACTGCTTCAGAGTGACGTAGTTCTCGTTGTCGCTAGACTTTGAATCGCTCTTTGGAATGCTATAATCGCTACCGCATATCTTAACCTCTTCGTACTGCTGCGGGGGCCCTTCTATACTGAAATCTTTGGTTATTTCGTTCACGGAACAGGGACGGGTGATGACCTCTCGGCAGTGGACGTATTTCTGCTGTTCCGCTATGAAGGTGAGGACGTTCTGTAGGGTCGCTTCTCGATCTCCGTGGTCGCTTAAGGCTCCGCCGAGACTCCGCGATGAAGTCGAAGCCAAACTTTTAGTGCTCTCAAATTTGACTAACCTGGAAAAATAATGACCGTATCGAAAATTAGTGGACTGTATTTTTATAAATTATAGCGAGTTTATGCAAAACACTTTCTAAGACTGAGAGTTCAACCATAACGAACCAAAGAGAGCGTTTATGGAAACTCAACTGGAACTATAAACCAACAACTGTTCCTAGAAAGTGACCAACATTTAACTAATACTCAAGACTATAGGTAAAAGGGCATGCGTCATTCTGAAATATTTTTTTACAGTCATAGACCTGAGAATAGATACTAGTTATTGGGTATAGTTTTTAGGTATTGTTGCATAAACCGGGTATTATTTTGAAGATAACCTTATTCCAAAAACAAAACTTTCAAAATCGGAAAAAGTTATTTCTGCACAACAGAAAGTTGTCACCATGGAATAACAGGTAATGACTTTTTCATTGAATAAAATATGTTAATTTCATCACATTAACTACAAAATAACAATAATTGAACAATAGTTGTGGTTATACACGCCGATTACATCTAAAATCGTTATTTTTGGAAATAAAAAATTAAAATACATTTCACATATTAAAAGATAAATGTCTCACAATACAAATATTCGTCGATGGAGTAGAAACAGTGGCTTAATAGTGAGTGCTTAACTCTAGCCTTGAAACGGTTATAACTCAGACCGGTAATGTCTGTTGGTATTTTATTTATTTTACTTTACTTACTATACTTTAATTAAGACACATTTTCATCTGTCTCAGTAGAAACAGTTATGTGGAAAGTCTTTTGCACAAACCAGCAACATGTGCTTCCCAGTTTAACATGTCAATTTTAAACCCCAATAAATCTACATGTTGTGTCTGTGTCTTATCTCCATCATCTGCATAGCAAAAAGATAAGCTTGGGAATAAGAAATTAAAAATATCAATAATATATACCACAGAAAGAGTTGGTCCCAGTATGGACCCTTGTGGTACACCGTGAAAAATGGATATACATGTGCTAGAATTTCCAAATGTATAAACAACTTGTTTTCTCCCACATAAGTAGGTTTTCATTAGCTCTAAAGCTCTTGGACAAAAGTTTTATTGTACATGAGTGCAAGAATATCACAAAAAAAACAAGAATATAGTGTACATAGATTATTATTTCGGTTCAAACTGAAAAAACACATCATGGTCTCTCTGGACTCACTCTCTGTATTGAATGTTTGCATATCCTGCTTCAACAGTAGACTGTACCCAAATCTCCATTTACTTATACAAAAAACAATATCAGAAAAAAATCACCAACCCATGACATTTGTAATAAATGATGTAACTCTACTAGTACAGGCATCTTCAGTGATTCAATTATAAATATAGGAATAGGCATAAATCCTTTCTGCCTGTGTCCCAAAAGTAGATTATAGGTATTTACTGATATTGTTCATATGTTGAAACTGTAAATAAAAAATAACTCTTAGGGTGAATTTGAATAACCCCAATATGAATAGTTCAAGTAACCTACCTTCCAACAGTTTCTTTTAATAATATAGTTAGGGAGCTAACTAATTTTGTTACTCAATAATCATTTTTGATTATATAACAATCACACTATATAATATAATATATTCCACATAATTTCAAAGAATTCAGAACCCATCCTTCACTTCCTCCACAATGCACCATAATTAGTCGCGATCCTTTGACTGCAGGCATGTTAGGCGTACACATCCTTGAACCATCAGTCCACCCTTTCGTAACTATGTCGTGAGTGTCATACCAAGTTTTGTCCAAATAGAAAATTTGTCGTTCTTGTCTATATTTAGTTATTTGTACTTAGTATTTGTAAGGCAAATCCACCATTCTTCTGCTTTCCATAACAGCTTGACGTTAGTTTATTATTTCAAATCTAAATCCTAGTTTCTTTATCCAATTCTGAAGAGTTTTGTCACAGCAGCTCACGTTATGGCCGGAAGTATTCAATTTTTTCCTTATGATTTCAGTTGTAACAGTCGTATATTGCTTTTTTCAATGATTTTATTAGAGATGAACATCTAAATGTTTTGGTAATCCCGTATCACATTGCATATTGCGTTCATAAGGTTTGTTTTTGACTATTTCACGTACAGTTGAGGATTTGAGAAAGGAATTTCGGTTAACTCTGATGTTGCTTGTAATAGTTTGTTTCCCTTGAAACCAAACTTCAAATGTAAATTCTTATATACGTTGAAACATAATCTCTGTGTTTCAATATTCAAATGCATCCGACTCTTATTCACTGGTATCTCTTTTTCGCATTGTTTACCATCGCTATTGGAATCACTACACAGAAAAAAGTCTGCGTTGTTATCACACTAGTTATTACTATTAGTACTTGTCCAAGGACGCCACATTTTGAACAGATAACAAAAATTTTAAGTAGTTACAACTGCATCAATATAAAATTTCAACACCCAAATCGCGATCAGTTCCTGAACTGATTACGACGGCGGTAACCATCCCCGCATTCCGCGATTTTTATAACTATCTTCGATCGACTATTCGTGAGGGAATATGCAATCACTCTCACTTACTCAGGCAATTACACAACATGTTTTAACAAAGGAAGTGTGTGAATATGTCAAAGAAATTATCTGTTTATCCCATACCTGTAGAAATCCCTCGTGAAATCCGTCCCGATAGCAGGCAACTCCCCGGTATCATCGCTGGACCCACTCAACGCGACCGAAGACCTCTTCGAATAAGTTTCCTGTTCGTGGGAGTTGCAACAGTCGGACCCACCGCTGGACCAGCTATTCTCCGGAGAATTCTGCTGGTGTACGATATTCGCCACAGCGTAGGGCCACTGTTTCTCCCCGTTCGGCCCGTCCATCAGCAGCGTCACCAGCTCCCGCCCCTCCTTGTCCATCATGTAGCTGGAGTTGTTCCAGAGACACTCGTTGGAGTCTTCCTCTAGCTCAAGCGTGTTGTTCTCTTGGATGCTCGGCAGGGTGGAGATGGAGATCTGTCCGGGAGTCACTGCATCTGTTTTCTTCCACTGGTCCCGCAGATCATCACTGGACAAGCTCAAGCTCCAGTCTTCTAGCTCTGCTCGATCGTACTCGAGCTCTAGCATGTCTCTGTGCTGCTGCTGTAGGGCTGATCGGGTCTCGTCGAGTCTCAGCCACTGCTGGATATACTCGGCGTCCCAAGTGGTGCACTCTAGGCGTTCTTCGGCGATGCTGGACCAGGAAAGCTGGGAGGTTTTGTCTTCGGGGCAGACTTCCAAGTTTGCATTGCCTACAAGGGAAATAATCATTATTAGTGAGGGAAGATGATTGGTGACGGGGGCGGTGACTTTTTGAAATGTCAGGAATGATGACTGACGACTGAAGGATAATGAAGGTGCACATACTTCATACAGAGTGTGACTTCTTGAGGTATTGCGAACAAATAATTACAAAAATTCTAGTGACGAGGAAATATAATTCAGAAAATCTTCTAGGTATGTAAATAGTAAGTATTTGTTTTTTATCAAAGTTCACTCGGTTGACATCGTTTTTGAAATTGATCAAAAGATTTTTTGGCATTTTAATTCAACGAATACAGTCATTTCAGTAATTTCAGTAATTTATTCATTCAATAACACACTTGTACATAAAATATTTCAAAGGATATACAGGGCTTTTCATGATGAGCGTTAATTAGCCGTTTCTGGCAAACAATTCAACGGATCAACCTGAAAATTCCACAGTATGTATTAGTCAATATGACCTACACGCCTAAAATATTTCAGACGAAGCGGCGTTGTCGCTTCTACTATAAAGTAGCGGCTTCTTTGATTTTTCAAAAGGAACACCCCGTATATAATATCATATTATGATTCATTATCACTTTGTCAACAAATTCATATACTATTTCCCTATACCTATCTATTACCGTGTAGAAGATATATATAAATCAATTTCGATATTTTTTTTACCAAACATGAACTTTTATAAATGCTGATAATCTTGAACTCTCTTGCACTAAAACGATCAAATTTGAAATGGAGTGAAATGATACTATGAGGATCTTCACTCCGAGTCATATTTTCATTTGCCTCATACAGGGTCTTCAAAAAATGCAGATACTTTGATCTCATGAAAAAATGAGTGGAACTCAATTTTTTCAAATCGAACACCCTGTATATTTCAACATTTTTGAGCTCTACATCCAATTTACATTACTACATTACTGTATTACAATCTGAAACATGGCAAAATGTCTTCTCATCAAATAATACTCAAAATTCCTACAATAATTTCATTAACACATTACCAAAATATATCACAAACACAACTAAAAAATTTGTACTGAGGGACACAAAAATACGTAGACTCAAACCCTGGATTACTACAGGTCTCATAAATTCGCTTAAAACTAGAGACAAACTAAAGAAAAGATTGAAATCAAATTCATCGACCGAATTTAAAAAACAAAGAATACCGAAACAAGGTTAATAAATTAATAAAACTCGCAAAAAATAATTATTACAAAAATAAACTAAGAAGTATAGAAGCTACTCTCAAGTCAAGTCATAAATTAAATTATTTCTAATGAAACAAATAAAGAATCCTTAGAAAATAAAATCATACAAAATGAGCATGGAGAAAATGTGATAGAAAATGAAAAAAAGGCTAACTTTTTCACTAACATTGGCACTGAAATGGCTGAAAAAATTGAATTCTCAAATCTATCTGACAATTTCCTTGATGACGTCCACGTAAACGCATTTATATTTTTCGAACCTGTAACTGTAAATGAAATAATCATACTTATATCCAAGCTTAAGAATGAGTGCTCTCCAGGTCCAGACGGACTTACTACAGAAACCATAAAAAAAATCCACCCCTACATCATTGACCCCCTTATTCATATTCTAAATTTATGCTTAGAGCATGGTACCATTCCTTTCCAGTGGAAAGAGTCTATAGTTTTACACCTGTCTTCAAAAAAGGTGATCCAAAAAAACTTAGTAATCATAGACCTATATCTGTTATATCTAATTTAGCTAAAATATTTGAACATTACATCAAAAGTAGACTGTTAACATTTTTCATGGAGCATCATGTTATAACAGAACGCTAATATGGCTTTATACAGAAATCTAATACTGAAAATGCTATCTTAGATCTAACAAATGAAATTATAACTTCTCTTGACAAATCATCTAAATGTTTAGCGATTTTTCTGGACTTGGCCAAAGCATTTGACACTGTGTCTCATGATACACTGTTGAAAAAACTTGAAAGATATGGTATTAGGGGAATATCACTACAACTTCTTCAAAACTATCTCAGTGGTAGAACCCAACAAATTAAAATCGGTAAAAACCAAAGTTCACCCTTAATCCTATCTATTGGTATGCCTCAAGGTACAGTATTGGGTCCAATACTGTTTCTTGTATATATAAACAATATTTGCTGCATTAATAATTTTCTAGGTCACATCATATGTTATGCCGATGATACTGCATTGATTTTCAAAGGCAACACCTGGAATGACACTATTTGCACAGCTGAGCAAGAGAAATTAAGTATTAATATACAAAAATTTATTACTTTTTCCCTTATATGTAACTATCAACCCAACAAAGAAACAATTAAAATTCATAAACCAGATTGCTCAAGTCTACAGTGCCAATGCCCCGAAATAACAAAGACATCGTCGATTAAATACTTAGGAGTTTTTTTCGACCAACACATGAGGAGGGACGAACATGTTAATCACTCGATCAAAAGAATGCGACTGATAATGAATAAATTTTACAATACAATAATACACTAAGATCTTTCAAAAATTCATGAACCGATATTTGATTCAACTCACTAAAGGGCAGTATATTTTTACTTACCCCATAAAGTATTTGTGCCTCTGGTCCTTCGCAGTGGATTCATGGACTTATCAGTAATGTCCACTAAAAAAATTGAAGGACTGCTGGAAATTGTTGAGCTAAAAGTATAACACGGTGATGGTGCAGTGGTGATTTTTATACACAGATGGGAATCAGAAAAACTCCTCATGATGTGTTGGAACGGCAGGATGTCTTTACTGGGTGGAAAACTATTTCTGAAAATAAAACCATTTACATACATTTACAATATAGTTGTAATGATATTGCTAGAAACACTTTTTAGATAGGTTTGGTCAGGGAGGATAAAACAGGGCCTAGTACCCATCCTTGAAGGCGGGTTGGCTGTCCTTGTTCATCTTTCACTACCTGAACCACTGTACATGCTGTTTTTGGCTTGTGATGTAGAGGTTGAGCAAACCAGCCATCGGGTGCTTGCTTCCAAGTACCCCCGCTGCATACGGGAAAGACAGAATCACTTGTGGTTCTGTTATTCCCTAACTGAATGGCATCCCGACGATGGCTTGATCCTAAGGAGTGTGTATCCGTGCCGAGAGGATGAATGACACTGAGCCTATCAGCTGTCTCTACGGAACCTTCCAGATACCGGGCGCCCTCTCGTTGTACCATCGCCTTGTCACGGTAATGCGGGGCTCTGCCGTGATTGACCTTTTTTCCCTAGCTACTCGTGGGACTTTTATGGTCAGAGTAAACTTAAAAATTCTTTCTGACGCTGAGTCTACAGAGGAGATGGATGGCGAGCTTACGACTTCAACTGACCTCCTTGTAAATTTGGATCAGGAGCGAGAGATTCTCAACTTTCCAACTCCTGATCCAATAACTGAACCTAAAAAAAAGGTTTGATGGTGCAGCCAAGAAACGACTGAATCGTCTCCTCAAGAGCGGGGTATTTTATGAAACCACCTTGCACCAAATTCTTGAGCGGCGTACGCAGAATCTGTCTCAGGTGGAGGAACAAACCTCTCATGAGCAGGTTAGCAAACGTTTGCGCTCAAGTGATGATTCACCAAAACCAAAGGCAAAAAAGCCCTGCACGGGTGAATCTAGTGCATCGTTAGGTGTAGCTGACGTGCAAAAATCTTCGTAACTAATCGGCTTTGTTATGAAGCTGGGTTTATTTGGTCTAATGCGAATAGGTGTGAGCCACAATAAACGCTTGCGGGTTGCAGTGGAGGGCCAAATAGAGCCACTCACTTTGGAACTAACCTAACCTAATTCCAAAAATGATGTTCGAATATTAAAACTGAAGTATGTTGAAAACTTGATATACAGGGTGTCCCTGGACTTCCTCTTTTCCTCTCGGGAATGTATAGATGGGGTCAAAATATCACCAGTACTTCATATAACTTTTTTTCCTAAAATCCTTCGTTACCAAGTAACAGGCCCTCGAAGTTACAAAATGAAAAATGTTTTTCTTTGATAACTTTTCAAGTGAATATTCAAAATCATCCAAATTTTGGTAATTGACTAAACAAATGAATT